GCAGAAGATCTCTGTGAGTTCAAAGCCATCCTGATCTAGAGAGCAAGTTCCAGAACAGGTTTCCAAACCTACAGAGAAACCCTGTCTCGTAAAATAAAAATCAAACCAAAAAAAAAAAAATCAAAAAGTATGATAACAAATTTAATTAGATATGAAACTTTAGACTTATAAAGACAAAATAGATAACAGAATATTTTCTCTGATTTTTACCAAATACAAATTGTCTGGATTTTTAACTGTAATTCCTACTTGATACCTGTTTTGTTGAATATAATTTAACTGTGTTAAAGTTAAGACCCTTCCTTTTTATTTAGACCAAAAGGGGGAAATGCTGTCGGATAATCCTTCTGTATATTTATGTATACTATGCTGTGATTTGTTAATAAAGAAGCTGCCTGGCCAGTAGCTGAACAGGATAAGGTTAGGTGGGAAAACCTGATTAAGGACACTGGGTAAAAGAAGAACAGAGTTAGTGGAGTCACTAGGCAGACATGGGAGAAAACAGGAGGATCAAAATGAAAGAGAGGTCACACTATGTGGCAGAATGTAGATTAATAGAAGTCAGTTAATTTAAGTTATAAGAGTTAGCTAGTAACAAGCCTGAGCTAGTGTCTGAGCATTTGTAATTAATATTGAGTCTCTGTGTTGGCTATTTGGGAACTGGTGTGAGGGAAAGAAAAGTTCACCTATAGTTGACACTTCTTTATTTTCCTACCTTCTGTGTACCAAGATTCCTGTGTCCTAAGAAAGGAATTTAAAATTAGGTGTTTTAGAGTTTGTCTTTTCGGCAGATGAGAAACCAGTGTTTATATACGTAATGATAGGTTAATATACGTAAACATATTTTATCATTAGCTTTTAGAGACTCCATAGCTTTACAAACACATACAATTCTATCCTCATAAAGTGAGGTGGAATTCACTGTAATTTTATTAGACTTCCTGGTTCCTTACAGCTTATCTGATGAGAAGGTGACAAGAAGCATGTATACTTTTTTTTAAAAACAAGATACAAAACAAGGGCTTTAGAAAAAAACTGTACCAGGAGGCACACCACCTTCCATAACTCAAGTTAATGAAAATTAATGTTAGAGTCAATATTGCTAAGAGTGTACTGAAAACTATCATGGCAGATAGCTTACACTTCTCTGGGAAGCATTTGGTATCATCAGCAATTTATCAGTTACAGAGTTGAGGCCTGTGTTTGTCAGTTTTGCTGGATCTTTAGCACATTATTTATACACACTACAAAATGTCATAATTGACTTCCTGTCCTCACTCAGCCTTCACAGACAAAGGGCTAAACACAGTTTAAGCAATTTTATGTAATAGGAGGAAATGTATACATGGAATCTCCACAGGTAGAGAACAGGGGAGAACATACTATTTAGGCAGAAAAGGGACCAAATGAATGCACACAGGTACTGAGTACATGAGGGACTTGGGAAACAGTGGGAGAATGAGGTTCAATGGTCTACAATGAAGAAAAGGAGGACAGGCCATTTTCATTAGTTCCCGGCTACGTAAGGATCATCTGTAATGTGCTCAGCAGTGCGCCAAGTGCTACTGTCCTTAAGCAATGAGGGAATCCTGACAAATAAATCAAGCCATGTAAAGCAAAAGGTTCATTTGGTGAAGCAGGAGTAAATCATGAACCAGGATATATTACAAAACATCACCAATGCTAAGGTAAGGAATCCAGAAGCAGAAAATGAACTCAACTTTTATTTCATTCTACTGTGTTAAGACTGCAGTACTCAAGATTTCTGTGGAGGCTGCACAAGTGAGCCCAATTTTGCTGTAAACAAGAAGCACATTTTGGCGTAAACATGAAAGCAGGCTGGACCCCAGAGGTTGGGTGACTAATTCAAGGCAGTTGTTTTTTTGTTTTTTATTTATTTTATTTTTTTTAAATAAAACTGCCAGCAACATAAGAGGGAATAATGGGAAGGAAGTGCAATTCTATGGGTCACCAAGTACAGGAATCAACCTGAGGATGTGGCATGGGGGAAGGAAGGGATGCAGCAGCTGCATGAAGGCATGTAGGGACGTCTAGACATAATTCCGCTGATAGTGGATGGCTGAGATGAATAATAGTTTAACTTTGGGTCAAGATTTCTGAACTTTATTTTGAAGTTTTAAAGAACAGATGAAGCAAAGTGAAAAGAGGCTGATGTGAAGGGAATACATAGAAATTCATCACAATAACCAACTTCTGTATATTTGAAAGCTTTCCCAATAAACATGTTTTTAAGTGAACTTGAAAGACCAACTTTGTTCCACGATTCTGACAGAGATTAATGGGCACCTAGGAATTCACAAGTCAGCACAGATTTGTGCACATTTTTCCAAGTAACCTCACAGGGATCATGTACAGCTGCAGAATTCCATCTGAGTACCAGGGGAAGGTCTCTGTGCGACGGCAGGCCGTAAGAAAGAAAACAGAGTTACTGAGGAAACAGAGGTTTGAGAGAATAGCCAGGAGGGGAAGAGCCAAAGGCAGGGAGCTGTAGGGAGATTAAGACATGGGAACTGGACACAGAAGTGTGAGGCAGAGACGGTGGATGGTGGGACATACTCTGGGAACTCAGCAACAAGGTGGGGAATGGCTGCAGGAACAATCAAGATACAAGATACAAGCGGCCAAACGACCTACGCAAAGCACGACAGAATCACAGCTTTGAGTGCTATGAAGAAATTACACAACAACTTCTTTAACGTCTAACTGTCCTCAATAATTCCAATCATCTAGTATTTCTAGTGAGAAAGCCTTTTATTGCCAGCCTGTCCTAAAATCAGCTGGTAGTTTTTTTTTTTCAATATTAAGTGGAAGTTCTTTAAGAGTATGTCTGTACCGTGTCTGGATATACTACAAAAACAAAACAAAACAAAACAAAAATATTTAATTCTGAGAAGGAAAAGATCAAAGACTCAAAAAGTCTGGTCCTGGTCTCTGTAGCTCTGATGTGCATCACTCCCTCTGTATCTGTAAGATGATCACAACCATCCAGGCAGTGGTGGCACAAGCTTTACTCACTCACTCTGTATCTGTAAGATGATCACAACCATCCAGGCAGTGGTGGCACAAGCTTTACTCACTCACTCTGTATCTGTAAGATGATCACAACCATCCAGGCAGTGGTGGCACAAGCTTTACTCCCAGCACGTGGGAGGCAGAGGCAGGCAGATCTTGAGTTTAAGACCAGCCTGGTCTACAGAGTGAGTTCCAGGACAGCCAGAGCTAAACAAAGAAAACCTGTCTCAAAAAACCAAACAAATAAACAAAAAAGATTACAACTGAAAAGACTGCTACTTTTACGGTATTTAGGCACAGTCCTCAGAAATGAGTATTTACCATCACAGTGCTACCAATCCACCTGAATGGGCACTGGCACTTCCTAATGCAGGATCATGTCCACAGAGCCAACTTCAGCACTTAGAATGTGCATAAACATTCCACAGCTCCCAGGAGCTTACAAACCAAAATTGAAAAGTCTAAATATGCCTTATGAAGGGTCAGGATGGCACTGTTTTTCTCTGTTTATTATTGAACACTGAGAACTTTGTCTTGATTAGTGTCACATTTAGCTACACTGGCTTCAGTTATTCTTTTTCTCTTTTGGGTTTTCAAACATAATCTTCCTCAGATTTGTCCTTTGACAATTTCACGAATGTATATAACACACACTAATTACTTTCTCCCCAAGCCCTCTTACACTCTCTCCTGACAAATCCCTTCCCAACATTTACCTCTCTTTGGTTTTGTGACCTACTGCTTGAACTAGGATTCTGTATGACCATAGGTCTGCAACTCTCCATTGGAGCCTGGCGGGCTCAGCAGAGGGGCTGTCAGTAGGTACCACTCCCAGAATCTTCAGTGGTGTAAGAGGTCCTTCTGTTTATGTGTTGCTTTCATTGGTTAATCAATAAAGAAACTGCTTGGCCTGATAGGGCAGAACTTAGGTAGGCAGAGAAGACAGAAATGAATTCTGGGAGGAAGAAAGCAAAGTCAGAGAGAGAGCCGCCATGTCAGACATGCTGAATCTTTCCTGGTAAGCCACGACCTCGTGGTGGCATACTAATTACTAGAACTGGGTTAAATCAAAATATGAGAGTTAGCCAATAAGAGGCTAGAACTAATGGGCCAGGCAGTATTTTAATTAATTAAATTTCTGTGTGGTTATTTTGGGTATAAGTTAGCCGGACGGCTGGGACTACAAGCAGCCTGCTCGCTCCTGTTACAAAACAAAGGGACCCGTTCCTCCTGTTACATGTCAGTACCTAATAGTTCAGTAGGGAAAAGTAGGGTCCCATAAGTCCTACCCTATCCATTACTGGCTCTTGGCAGGGACAGTCCTGTGTAGGCCAGTAGTTATGAGTTCGTGATGCAATGGCTATGGTGTGCCAAGAAGATGGTATTTTCTGTCCCTTACCTTCTTTCTGGCTTCTCTTATGTCCTGTTTTCTAAATGGCTGAGAGTAACTTCCAGCATAACAGAATGACCTACATGAATGCAGATACTTATAGAGCCAGAGTTCATGGTTGCGAGCCAGTGGGTGTAGGTGCTGGGAACTGAATTCAGGTCCTCTGGAAGAGCAGTGTGTGCTGTTAAACACGGAGTCATCTCTCCAGTTCATTATTTCCTGGTTGTTGATAACTCTAAAAGAGCATTCCATTCTCTTTTTTGTCGTTTTTTTCTTTCTTTTCCAGTTTTGAACACTGAATAACAAATTACACTTTATAGACAGCGTGGTGGAATGCATCTGTAATCTTATGATTTGGGGACTCGAGGCAGACAAACAGGCATTTAAGGCCAGCCTCGGGTATAGAGAGACTGAAGATAGCTAAACAACATGAGGCCCTGTTTCAAAAAACGAAAGAACTCAAAACAAAAAACCTCAAACAAGCCCAAATTACATTTTGATGTTTGTCTTTTATATAATTTCAGAGAATCAGAACCATCATTCAAAACCAATACTTTTATATTTTAATATGAAATACCTTGCATATTTTATATAAGGAATCTTGTCCATCTCCTCCTGTGTCCTTGAAGTAGTCATGAGCTGGAAACGTGCGGTTAATATCTCTTGTGATAGCACTGTCTTGGGGAGACTCCTGTGGAAACAGAGAGGACCAGGAACATTCAGAAGAAAGGTATCTCTTTGGATTTATACCAAAGAGTGCTGTAAGGTCAAACACATATTCAAGCCTGTACTTACTGCCTCTTCTGGGACTAAGCCCTCAAAAGAAGTATAATGAGGGTGGGCAAGTTAGAAGAAAAGTGCCATTTCATTCCACATGCCTCATGCCATACCCTACGCAAGGTAAGAAGTGAGGCTAGTGACCTTCCTGTTGTATAAAGGAAGATAAACTGCTAAAAAGTGGTTTCCCACAGAAAAACATTCAAATTACTTCCAAGGAGAAGGCAAAGTGCTTCTGATAGAAGAACGAAGTAGAAAAAGTAATGCTAATCAAAGCCCGTGCCCATTCACAAATGGAAAAGGTCCAAGGCCCTGTATGTGCATCCCTTTCATGTACAGACTGTTCTAAGCTACCATGTGGATGCTGGGAATGGAACCCAGGTCTTCTACAAGAATAGTCGGTGCTCTTAACCGCTGAGCCATCTCTCCATCCATGGTCCAAAACCCCTAACCTCCCCTTGCAGTTTTCATCTATCTAGTGCTCTTCCTACTGACCAATGAAAACTCATATGCTGAATTTCTGAGGCCTACAAAAACGGTAACAAACTGGAGTCCCATGGGAACCACTGGTTTAAAATTTGCTGAGGAACTTGGAATGAATCCATTTGGCTTAAAGTCTTCTCCTGAATTCTAATGATGACAAGTTTAATAAGTTCTTATCAGAATAATTATATTACAAATCTCACAAAATTCTAAAAACAATTCCTTGTCCTGAACAATGTGATCAGAGAGATTTGGGGACTGATTTTCAATGTACACAGCTGCTGTTGTGAAGTATTCATACATGCTCAGCCCTCAGAACACTGACAGCCTACCATTACTGGAATGTCCTTTAGAATCCTTATCTTTCACATAGTAATTAATGTTAACAGTATTTGTTACAATTTAAAAAGTCAATTCTTAATAACTGTATATTCTGTATGTTTCTATATATTCAAGTGTAGTAAGGGTTTAAATGAAATACTGTAAATAGTTGTATTTGTCTCTTGTACTTTAAGCAACAAAATAAGACAATACAAGTATCCCAGAAACTACACACATACATACCGACACATTAGGCTGGCTAAAATTAAAGCACTAAGTATTGGCGAGGTAATGCAACAACTGGATCTCTTACAAATAATGACAAGTCTATATACTATGCAATCACTTCGGTGAACTATACAGCATACCCAGCATCTACAAGTTCATTTGCTAAGGAAATAAATAACAGCTACATGGAGAAATGAGTGACTCTAAAATTGAGTTGAAAAACATAGAAGATAAACCTGGACTATTTTGTAATGCCAGAAAATTGAGAAAGAAAACAAACAAACCAAATGCTTCTTTTATTATTACCACAAACCAAGCCAAACAACTGACAACAGTAATGCTATCAGCAACAAAATACCTATATTGATGGAAGTATGTTGGAGGGTTACTGACAGACAATGAAAAATGTTCCTAATGACTTAAGCCAAATAATTTAAGCAACAAAAGGATATGGTAATTATTGAGTTCTAGCCTTGAATGAGAGAAATATCCATGAGTCTCTAAATACAAAAATAAATGACGGATTAAATAAATAAATGGGGTAAAGAGATAAATCACCCAGGTAGAATTTCAAATAACTTATATACACATATGTTGTCAAGGAAGTAAGAATGAACAATCTTGCTCTGGAGGACTGCAGTACAGTGATGGAATGGGAGGTGCAGCAAAGACCGGTAGTAACAGTGGGAGTCATTCTACTAGCAGGCACTCTTCATGTTGTGAAAATGGCTTTATCTGCTCCCTTCAAATTCATAACTTCATGAGAAAAACACAAGAAAACTTCTTGAAGGACATTTTACAAAATGCTTGACCAGTATCCCTTAAAACCACCACATAATTCTTGTTCCTTTCATCAAGGATGTCACTAACAACCAATATCTGGAGGCCACGTGTGGTTGATTTCTAGTGACTTCTCCCTTAGCTCCCACCATGGTGCTTGGTGTGGGTGTGAGAGTAGAGCTCTTTTCATTGTAAGGCTCCTTTAAAACAGTATGTGGATTAAAATTTATTAGAGCATTGCCTGCTCTTCCAAAGGTCCCGAGTTCAATTCCCAGCAACCACATGGTGGCTCACAACCATCTGTAATGGGGTCTGGTGCCTTCTTGTGGCCTGCAGGCATACACACAGAATATTGTATACATAATAAATATTTAAAAAATTTAAGGAAATTATAACACATGGTATTTTCTTGTCCGCAGGTCAAAATTATGTATTAGTTCAAGTCACAGAAGTCCTATATGGTACTCTTTCTGGATATCTATTTTTATAGCTTACTGTGAGAACTGGATGACTGGGTAACTTCTCAGGATTAATAAGGTACTGGGAACTGGAGGATGTTCTTTGAATACATACTCTTTGTAAAGTAGGGTTGAAAAATAGAAAGCTAATAATGGTAGGAAGAAAAAGAAAGTACCCAAACAAAAGAAATGCCATGGAAGGCTGCCATATGAAATAGGAGCAGAGAGGATTGGATTTCCCAAGTGGTTTGTTGTCCAAATAGAAAGTTCTCAAGAATAACTCCAAACATTATAAATGCCATAAAACTGTGTGTAACACTTAATAAAACAGAAAAGCACTCCACTCAAATACATTATTTATTCATGAGACAGGGCCTCACTACATAGTTCAGGCTGGCCTCAGTCTTCTGGGTGCTGAAGATTACAGGTGTGTGCCATCATACCTTGCCCATGTCCTGTCTATGTGTTTTTATGAATGAAGTATATTGGTTACATATCCTTGGTGTGTGTGTGTGTGTGTGTGTGTATGTGTACAGGTAAACATGTGGCACAACATGTATGTGGAAGTCAGAAATCTGAGAGTCAGTTCTTTTTTTTCCTTTTTTAAAAAAAGATTTATTTATTTACTATGTATACAACATTCTGCCTCCATGTATGCCCGCACGCCAGAAGAGGGCACCAGATCTCAGTACAGATGGTTGTGAGCCACCATGTGGTTGCTGGGAATTGAACTCAGGACCTCTGGAAGAGCAGCCAGTGCTCTTAACCTCTGAGCCACCTCTCCAGCCCCAGTTCTTGCTTTTTACACTGTTGAGGCAGAATCACTTATTTCTGCCACTACTGTGAACTTCAAGCTAGCTGCTCTGAGAGCTGTATGCTGATTCTGCTGTCTCCACCACCCTCCCACATCTCCACAGGAGCACTAAGGTTACAGACTATTGCCTCCAGCTCTAAACGTAGATTCTTGAGTATCTCACTCAGATCTCAGGCTATTGTAACAAATGCTGGTACCTGCTAAGCTGTTCCTTCAGTCTTGAACTCCTTTTCAAAAAGTCAGGTATAGCTTTTGTTTGTTTGTTTGTTTGAAACAGGATTTCTTTGGGTAGCCCTGGCTGTCCTGGAACTGGATTTGTACAACAGGCTGGCCTCAAACTCAGAGACCTGCCTGCCTCTGCCTGAGTGCTGAGAGTAAAGGTGTGAGCCATACCACCCCCTGGCTTCAGCTACAGCTTGTTAAAAGTAGTTAAAAGCTGAAAAAAGCAAAACTGAAATTTCTCTCTGTGACTGCCTGTGAACCCTGACATTTGTAGTTCTGCTGGATATTTACAGTAGGGCTGACCAGCTGGGGATAGAACTCAGCAACAGAACACTTGTGAGCCCTGGATGCAATCCCTATCACTGAAAATGATAGAAGGAGGGCTGACTGAGAGAGTAAATGAACAACAAGAAGAAAAAACGATGTTATGGTATTGGGGCAAACCAAAAACCTGAAATGTCTTTTAGACTTATATTAGTTGTATATATCATATCTAATAAATAGCTTTTCCAATTTAACAGAGTTTAAACATGATAAAAGCTAATGTAACAGCTTTGTTAACATCTTAATACTATATCCATGTTAAGAATGTATCATAAGAATTCTAATAAAAAAGAAGTTATGAATAGTAATTGTATGAAATACTTATTTGGATAAACATTGTTGGTATTTATGAAAAAGTTGAAAAATCCCTAAGGCTTTCCCCTAAGAACATGTGTTCTTCTATTACTGTGAGAAACACCATCATCAAAAGCAATCTGGGAGAAAGGAGTTAGAAATCCTGATGTGGGATTCCCCTCTGCATGCTGTGAATAGGTTTTACTACCATTGGTTAATAAAGCTTTTTAGGGCCTATGGCAGGGCAGAATAAAGCCAGGTGGGAAATCTGAGCAGATATATATAGAGAGGAAGTAGGCAGAATCGAGGAGACATCATGTAGCTGACAAAGGAGACAGACGTCTGATCCTTACCTGTAAGCCACAGCCTTCTACCAACACAGAGATTAATAGAAATGGGTTAATTTAAGATATAAGAGCTAGGGGCTGGAGAGATGGCTCAGTGGTTAAGAGCATTGCCTGCTCTTCCAAAGGTCCTGAGTTCAATTCCCGGCAACCACATGGTGGCTCACAACCATCTGTAAAGAGGTCTGGTGCCCTCTTCCGGCCTGCAGGCATACACACAGACAGAATATTGTATACATGATAAAAAAAATATAATAAATATTTAAAAAAAGATATAAGAGCTAGCTAGAAATATTGGCTGAGCAGTGTTGTAATTAATATAGTATTTGCGTGATTACTTGGGCCTGGGCGGCTGGGCACGAAGGAGCAATCTCTGTCTACACCTCCCATTCACAGTCTCTCTCTGAGGAGAAGATAGGGCAAGAACCTGGAGGCAGAAGCGGAAGCATGGCCGTCAAGGAACACTCCTCAGCCCACTTTTTTGTTATAGTATCCAGACTGCACTGTCTGCATTGGGTTTGGCCCTCCTACATCAATCATCACTGAAGAAAATACTCCTACAGATTTGCCTACAATCCATAAAGAGGCATATTCCCAACTGATGTTTCCTCTTCCCAAATGACTGTAGTTTCCTCCTGCTAAAATA